AGTTCTGAGTCAAAACCGTACATTCAGGTCTCATCACTACTGATTATATCCCAAACTGCTTTAGAACGTCAACAATCAAACTTGGAAAGTATGGCGTGGCACCAATTCACCCGGACTCATTTCTGTCCCTCACTAAGATGATGGAGTACCCAGCGTGTACAAACCTTTCTAAGGCCAAGCTTCTCATTTAGAACGATGCGGATTGATCCCGGTGAGATTTCGATGGCTTTCTCCAACTGTGCCACTGTGACATCGACTGAGTAACATCCTTACAGTCCGAGTACAGCGAACATTTTGACTAGTGAGTTGTGCTTGGCTGTTGCCATTAGTTTCGGTGAGTTGCAATCAATGAAAACTATTCACAGTAGATTATAGTTCACGTTTGCCTTGCCCGATCATCTGCATCTCCTACGTGTAGCGCGTGTGCGGAAAATTTTATCTCAGCCCTCGTATGGTTATTATCTGTGTCATGAGGCAAATATTGTTGTGCCTCTCCAAGGCACATTTTCTCTCTCTCATTTTCTCTAAAAGCATGAAACAGCGTTGCGATCAAAGAGAAAACGTGCTTATTATATATACATGACTTCTCCTTGAGAGTTATAAAAAGAACGTGCACCGTACTCGATATTTGAACTTTCCGGAAAGAGGTGATCAATAATTTGAGTAAATTGGGGACTCAGGTGACTACTAGTAAATTGAAGCAAATTCCACGAAATTTCTGGACTTTTCAGCGGATTCCTGTTGTTCATTGTTTTTCACCCCATACAATTGCACGATTCGAGCTCGATGGCTTGTGATAGTGTTGTGAGATACTACTCACTTGTGAGTAGTAGGGAACATAGTTGGTGATTTATTTTAACAATCAATAAATCAATAAGATCACAGATGGAAAATTACTGTCTCTCAAAGGATAAATATCAATTGCTTCATTCATCACCCTTTGTGTGGCTAGGAACTGCGATGGTATGTTTCTGATGAGATTTCCGTGTTATGTATGCCAAATTAGTGATGTCCCATCTGTAATCCTCAATAAATAGCTATCCTCGACCAAGCACTGCCCTCTGGAATTATGACAATAGGATCACAGTATTGGGTTGATTCGGAATGGTACGGTTGCCTTGCTTGTGCAACCGAACCATCATGGAAGTCGCGAGAAACGGCCGTTCTTTGAAGAGAGTGCCGGTGTTAGTGGTACAAGACTAGGGCTCAGCTTCGCAGACTTATCCACACTTGGAACAAGAAGCTCCAAGGCTTTCCAGAGGCTGTTCCGTAATGGACCAATAGATTTAAATATGGTTGATGGCTTTCCTGTAGTTGATCACTGAATGTCCGGTTTGGAATTGTCACAAAACTGGGGTTTGTAGCGTATTTGGGATGAATTGGTTTTCTGAGATCGAAACGCAGTCGTACACGTTTAAGATGGATTCTAGACGGCGATAAATTTGTTACAGGGTGCCGGACACATGTAATGACCAATGCTTGCTGTGATAATAGATAACTTCTTGCAAAATGTGGAATCCTGCTTGATTGCGGGTTTTACTTCAGCAAAGATGCCAAGAAACGCCCCTATAGTATCCGCCTTTAGAATCTGCACATCCGATTTCACCGACATATATGATGATCATGTCTTCCAGTTGTTGACTGCGAAGTGCAATTAGATGTGAACGAGTGTCTGTTGATACACTTTTGTCGTGGATTAGGAACAAATATCGTATTCGTGCCTCAGTATGATAGTGGTCCACCGCTACAGTCGGTCTGCTGAGTAGACCGGAAGACTTCTTCGGCCTAGAAGTCGCAATCAGCGGTTTGTTGTCGATTGGGAATTTGAAGTAAAGTTAGTTTAACCTTTTGATTGCAAAGGTGACGAAAAAAGTCTCCTTTTTGTTCTGTCCGTAACTTCCGACCGATAATATGTACACTGGCTTTTGCACTCACAATGATTAACATGCATCAGCAGCATTCCTTTGACGTCTCAAAAAGGCTGATGTCATGCTGGACACTAGTTATATTTAGCATCCTTTTTCAGCAGTTTGTTCAGAGGACCTCGCGTGCTGTGTATGTCCGGCAAAGAGATCCTGAAAAGGACCTTAACAAACTGACATCATGTGTCGAGAGCTTTTGTTGAGAGCCACAATGTTGGCTAGGTTTGGGCGACGGCCGTGTCCGTCAATGATGAATTCAAGATATAGGACAAAAGGTACGACAAATCTGCTCTTTCAGCGGGGTTGGAACCAGTATTCCTGGACCTGTTTCAGAATGGAGTCCAGTCGTTGATAAACAGCAGCACCATCCAGGCTATTGCGAGTGGTGTACAAGACCTGTGGGAAAATTGCTAGGGTAATCTCCACACAAAAGGTAGAGTTTCCAACAGTAACAAACTAAAGTGGGTGTTAATTGTCAATAGTTCTCAAGAATCTTCATCAACTTTTAGTTGCAGGTACGCGTTCGCTCGGTCAATTTGGTCAAAGCAAGTGCTGCTATTGAGCTTCACCTACTGCTCGTCAGCCAGTGATATAGGATAGCGGTATGCATTAAGGACACCGTTCAAGCGTATGATATCGCTGACTATTTCACCGCGATGATAAGTGCAAACTAGGAACAGTAGTTGACTGGTTTGATCATACCTATGCGTTGTAACTGATCAGGTTCTTGATCGGGCGCCAAATGATGTGCAATTTGGCTACAGTCGAAATAATTATCATATGAAGTATAATCACGATCACATAACTAAAGGTTAGCAAATTGGGCACACACGAGATGAATTACTGCCTACTGTGTTGGAAATGTTATCCGTTCGGACAAATTCTTTCATCTCTCTTCACACGCTCCTGTTGTTTTGAGAATAAAGTAATCCATAATTTTAGCTGATCTTTCTCATGTCTTTGTTTTGTTTTAAATCATTTTGGTTTTAACTGCTGAGTTTGATCAATAATTAAAAATATGTAATCATCTGACTCCAAGGTTTTTTGATCGGTTTCATCAACTGATCAAAGAAATCCAAACGAATGGCTAGTGCACCAGGCATTCCTTGACATACTTCACGCTGCATTCCATTTCGCATAGTAACACCTAAACCAAGCAGTATTGCTTAAACTGTAGTGGATCATGTTTAAATATTCACCCTCTGGTTGCATTGCCCAGGGGTATCGCTTCTGGTCGGTACAACTGGTGTTTGATGCCATCTTGACAACACCACGGAGAGACGATAACTGTTGCAAAAATCAGTATGTGATATTCCCCCTTGGTCCCAAGACCGGGGAAGATCAAAGACAATACAGTGCTGGGTGAAAAGCCGTTTCCATTAGTTTGATAAATGATGAAAAATATGATAGTTTTTTCCTATGAGGGTGTAACAATAAACGAACCCAGTGAATTTGTAACGCATGGAGACATTTTCGGGATTTGAATATGTAAAATGTACATCCTTAAGCCCAGAGATCTATAGTCACATGACAGAATTAACGCCTTGATTGTCATCTGTCACCTTTACCTTTTATCGCTTTCATTTTATCGTCATCACCAATTTATACAATGCTCTTCGGTGTAGTTCATCAGATATCGCTACATTTTTAACATTTTCTACCTGTTATTGCTCTATATCTTTCGGACAGTTTGCATTTAATAGTTGATGACTTAAGAGATGCCACTGCACCTTTTCTTCTGCCTCACTTTCGTTCTTTCTTTCTTTTTCATTTTACTTCCTTTAGATGAATATACAAAGATACAATTTTCAGGAAGGGGGAAGCGGTCAATCAAAGGGCTCCCATACAACACACAAAAGGGGAAAGTCAGGCAGTCATTCACCTTATTATAGAAATCACTGTAGGGTTCCCTCTTTCATATTATATAATCGCTAATTATACTGACTCATTTAACACCTAATATTCCTACCCCTTAGGCATCGGTGATCAAAGCATGATCATGGTCAGGCCTAAACATTCTCACACTCAAAACACTATTCTTTTACTCCATCTAAATGCATTATATTCTGTCAGCGAGATGTTTCCCCAGAAAATAATACTCTTCTGGAAGAGTATCTCAATTGATTTACTGACTATTTTTCCCGGTCCCCTTTCGATTGTCTATTATGAAATCTCAAGCTAATTTTCTTAAACTATGTTTTTGACACGCGTTGTTCGGATATAAGTTATGTTGCTTTGTTCCTTCAGTTTGCAGAAAACAACAACTTTTCTTAAATGTCTTTGTTGTGAAAAGCCATATGCATTTGAATGTAGTAGGAGGGCCGAAATGCGAAGACTATTGTTTTTGATCAGGAGTGAAATAAGACACTTGGATTCCCTCTATGCAGGCCAGTTTGCTGGAACGAGGGACTGCTAGTCTATATGGTGTTTAATCAAACTACTTTGCAGGCACAGAGAAGTGATTTCCAGGTCTTCTACAGATGTAACATTAAATGACTAAATGCTGCATTGATTCATCTGACATCCCTTTCCAATTATATGGAATGCAGTTCTGCGAACATCCCGTCTTCGTTTGTACTCATTACCTCTGGTAAAGTGTATAGATACATACGTCCTCTCAAGTTGTCATCCGCATCTGATCTGCACAACTTAGGTCCCAAACTTTTCAAACATTGTTGATTCCTTGCCTCACATTTTTGCACATGCAAATAATCTTTTACTGGAACTACCAGCCATTACAGAATGCTCTTGTGTGATTAAGAATTACATCAATCCCCAAAGGAACAACACAAACTCCAACAACGAAGCGTTTCAGACCAATCACCCTCACTTCCACTGATTTGAAATTGATGATGCAATCGCTTCTACATCCCCTTTAGATATATCCTACCACCCCAAAGATAACTACTCTACACTGGATGCCATTTCATTCCTAGCTCACTTCTTTTGCAAATCTGCAAACGATAAACCAGATGTGTGTGTCGAAAGTGAAGTTCACTGGTATTAAAATACCGAAACCGCTACCCGCTAAATGAAAGGTCTCTTTTTTTAGAAAGATAATGTTGCATCATTTCTGTTATGATCAGTCAGTGATAAGAAGTTTTGTTCATCAATGTGTTCTCCCTATACCCCTTTACTGCACTCCTGTATGAATTTTCCTCGTCTGCTGTTGAGACACAGCCTCAGCCATGTTTCTCAAGTTCTGCTACAGGTCCTGATTAATAACATCTGTAAAGGACACACTGATACGTTTGATATTTACTACCAAAATTCTGTCTGATAACATTTAAACTCCACACATTATTGTGTGTGCATGTAAATCGCATCTGTCTACCCGCTCCCAATACAGCCGTATTTCATCTTGCATATCTGCCTGAGGAAACTTCTTGGACACTGACTGATAACGAGAGAGTTTGATCCGAGCTTTTTAATGCATTGAGCAGTTAATTGAACGTGTTGCACGCTCAACGTTTCGCTTGTTTTTACCAGTACTGCAACGGTGCTTTCTATTTGACTGGGTGCTTGTATGTTCAAGTTGCTAAGGATTCAATACAAAGACACACTTTAGCTGCAAAATTAGGATATTTCATTAGGTTGAAATAACAAGCAGCTTCGTAACTTGATCCTGTTTTCCTTTTCCCATTCTGTTCTTATGTATATAGCGGCCCCAATTGCTGAATCACGCGAATCCTTGTGGGACAAGGTGAAGTATGGCGTTCGGTTGATTGCGGACAATATCATTGATGATTATGATTTTTTTCTCAAAGCGGACGATGACACGTACATGATCATGGAGAATGTGCGTAAAATGTTGGATGGTCTTGACCCGGAAGAACCGTTTATCACCGGTCGTCGATTCAAAGTAAGTCATGCACCATTAGATTAGAGTTCATATGTTAGGCTTATGAAACAAATATATTTTATCCGGTAGAATAATCCGCCTTTGGTAGCCAAAAGCTTTAAATTGTAGCCTTACTCTTTTTGAAAAGCGATGATGTTGTGTAGTAGATACAATGCTACCTTTAAGAAGCGAAATATATTTTGAACAATGCACCGCCGCTTTCAAATAAAATTGCATGCAACCAAGCCAGTGATGATTAAGAAACAGGATAAAGAGAACCATAAACTGTGTGACGTGTCACAATTTATTCAAGAATACAAATTGGATACACAAATTCTTGGCACAAATTTGAATAGCTAAGTCAGAAAAATGGGTCTGAACAATAAATCCATCCAAATTTCGCTACATCTATCACAGTGAACTTTATATTCACTGAAAAAACCGTTGTGGAACAAAGACAAGGTTGTTAATTTTAATGGACAACACAAAAAGAAAACAATAAAATCGAAAGAAAGGAAAACCCACTGCTCTCCTTGGCCAAGTTAAATTACATTTTAGAATGCAAGTGTGGACGCTCGGCAATCTTCACAGGCAGAGAAGAGAGACAGTTAGGTCACAGAATGGCCTATGATATCCTGGTGTGGTCTAAGAAAACGAAACGTTTTGAAAACACAGTTGAAAGATTTTGAAAGCTGTCGTTTATGGGAGAACAAATGATTCCTCTCGAAGATATCAATGGAAATATTGGGGTGTTCTATTTCCCTTACTCTAAAACACACTTCATTAAGAGATATGATAAAATAGACACTGTTTATCCTTTCTGTTGATTGAGTTAATTATATGAATGTCTATTTTTAATATTCGAATTAGGGATATATATACAGGTAAAAATGTGGCAATTTGGAACAAACATGAGCATAAAATGGTAGGAATGATAGCCCCGTACGATTCACCGAATCATCAGTTTTTCTGCTGTCGTATTATTTTGAGCTTTTCGAAGTGTTTATGTTGGGATGTGGAGAAACAAAAGCCGAATGAATAAGCCGATCACTGTACCCAGATAGGCATCATTTCTTTTAATCTTACCAAATTGAGGTTTTCAGAGCTGTGTGCACTCCAAACTGGAAGGCGAAAAGAGTCTACACGAGAGAGAGAGTAGCTTTTGTAATCCCATTTATTCAATCTTGCTCTATAATAAACTAACATCCACAAACTTTCTTCCAGCTGTGATATGCTTGCATGAACACAACACGTAGTACGAAGCAATCATTGTCAATATGAGTCCGGGTCACGGTAAAACGTGGCTCACACGGTAGGAAATAATACCCATATATGGCTCCCACCATACACGGATAATTGAGCGAAAACATTTACAATCAACTCCTTCTAACTGATGAGCATCTTAGAGATGACTGACCAGGTTTAATACTCCAATGGAAACATAGATCTCACTGTATACTCGATCTTTCTAGAGCGAGACTGATGTTATTTCTCTACTACAGATGCCACATTTATAGTCCAGTCAGATCAAGTCAAAGTAAGCTTTATGCACCCGTAGGGTGAATTTTGAGCGATTTTCACGATAATACAGTGAAAGTGAGGTGGATGGTGTCCGAGTGTAAATAAGCTAATTAAAAAAACAAAACGACAGAAAACTAAAGGCAGGGAGACGATAATGAAGGGAAAAAATGAATAAATAAACCAATTCATGATGTGTTCCGCTAGACCTGTAATAATGGGTGCCCGGTTAACAAGGAAGCGAGCAAGAAAACGGAGAATGCTGTTTCTGTATGTGACGGTGCGTGCGGGAAGCAGCCTGTAATGGGAGTGGGTACGGAGTTTTGAAATGGATTTAGTAAATTTGTTGTACAAGCAGTGATCTTCGTTGTTCAACATTCTATCGGCTATTCGTTCACACGCGTCGATATGCTTGCATGCAATAAAATCAACCAGGACATCTCTGGTTACGCTACTACATCGAGATAAGCGTTTTATAGACCTGGAAATTAATACGAAATAGTTTTCTTTTAAGCCGGGGAAAAATCCAGGGGAACAAAGCAATCAATGAGAGAGGATGCATGCTACCACGAAGTTGAAAATTACGTTTGGGGATCAGCAAGCTTCCTAAGCCTGAAAGCATAAAAACAGAGTTTACGAACCTTTCTTGTAAACGTTCTCTACATATTAGGTCCAAGAGAGGTTGTGGGATAAAACGACTCCGAGGTATTTAACAGAGTCAGCTTTGGGAATGCTGTGACTGCTAACTACTAGATCCGGTAAATTATTAAAGGTAGTTTGATAACTAGAGCCAGATTTAAGGCTGAAGGGGACGTCGACACATTTGGAAACATTAAGTAACGGTGATCGGGGTAAAGACCAACTAAAAGCATCATTCAGGCTACTTTGAAGTTGATGGAAAGAAGCATTAGTATTGGAGGGGCACCCAATCACCACATCGTCGGCATACTTACAGGCAATTAATTTGGTGGGGACAGGCAGGGGGTTTACGTACAGGGAGAAAAAGAAGGGAGCCAAAATGGTGCCCTGGAAGACACCAGAGTTAACATAAGAAGGGGACAACGTTTTACCATTGCATGAGGTAAATTGTATCCTAGAAGATAAGTAGTTGACAAGAATCTTTAATACGTCGGATCCCAAACCGCAGTCAACAAGACGTTGAATGAGTATACGACGGTCAAGCGAACCAAAGGCGTTGGTGTAGTCAAGAAAAATGAGGCGAACGGTTCCAGCATTCGTATCAAGAACTGAGGTCACAGAATGGACAACACACGCCACAGCGTCAACAGTCGAAAGGGATTTCTTATAAGCAAACTGAAGAGGATGAAAAACATCAGAGAGAGTAGTCAAACAGTTCAACAGCACTCTTTCGAAGACCTTCAACAGAACTGAGGTACATGCAATCGGTCGATATTTTGAAGAACCCTTCTTTGGAATGGGTCCAATCCGGGCAGCCCTCCAGCAATCCGGGATTGTTTCGGAGGACATACACAAATTAAACAACTCAGCAACGGGTGTTGCAAGGTGTTCAGCACAGGATTTCAATAAAACAGGGGCTAATGAGTCCGGTCCGTGGGCCTTGTTTGACTTAAGTTGCTTCAAAACATAAGGTTGACGAAAGTGACTACTCCACCACCTCTTTTGTTGAAGTTCACAATCCGATCATCTAGAAAGATATCAAATCCATCAAGCAGGACAACGCCGTCCTCAATGTCGGGATGTAACCAGCCTTCCTGGAGCATAATAACTCCAACGTTTTTGCAAACTTTTTCATGTAACATACTCTTGACTTCATCAACTTTTTCCAGGAGTGTACGGATGTTATTGGAGATAATAACGGGTACCATCGGTTTGTTGATGGAACGCCGCCCGAGAGCGACCCCCCAACCAACGCGATTTTTTATTTGTTGTCCTTGCCCCTTCTTCCTCAATCGGTTGTAGCGGTTTCACACATACTGCACAAAACGTGAAAATGGTTCACACGCAATAAAACGGAGATCAAAATGTGCGGCCGTAGGACAGCATTTGACATTGGGAATTGAACGACTTAATTTCCTAAAATATGTTGAGGATAGAACGCATTTTTCCACTGTAAAATCGCGAAAAAATCGGATGGTAGATTCAAAAGCTCCGCGAACCCTAGCAAGTCGTTTGAGTTTTTCCAAACTATCATGGCGATCTCTTCACTTATTTGGGTTTTACGAAGGTTCTGTCAACACATTCAGAAAAATGCTCCCCTTCAGTTCAAGCGCTGAATCTCTACCTTGATGATAATCGAGAGTCGTTTAACATCGTGGTGCCTACCGTTCGTATATGCCTTCTCTTTTTTATGTCGAAGGCGTTTTACGAGAGGCGATGAGAATCTGTCAGTACGGATATATATTGTCTCGATCGGGCAACACAAATCAAAAGGGAAATTGAGATAGTTGGGGAGATGTTCACATCTGGAAGAATTTTTTGAATTGGACAATACAGAAATATCGGTTGAAGAGATTATATCCTGGAGTCGAGATAACTTTTCGTGGATACAATTCCTCTTTTGTATTGTTCCGGATGCTGCCTCTGCTTGTTGGTGATGAAACATTTTACCATAGATTTTTGGTGGAAAAGAATTGTACAGTGGTCGGACGTGCTGATAGGGGCTCGTTTTTCTATAAAAATGGCATCTGGGATATTTACAAAAATGCCATCAAGCTGGGGCTCCAAATGAGTGACAAAGTGAACAAGATTAACCAAACCTAATGTTCTTAAGAAAAAAATATCAAAACGATTAAAATCAGCAGCCACAATACACAGTGACTGGTCTAAGCCTATCGCGAATTGTGTTGAGGAAGAGTCGGAAAACATGCGGATATCAGAAGTGGGCGTGTCAGGGGCAATGTAAATGTTTGCTAGCCGGATGTGATTAAAATCACTGAGAAAACGGGGTTTACATTGAACGACAATGCAGTTGATTTCCCTGGTATTAAAATGAAACAAAAGATGAGAGCTGTTACGCCACATACTTATGGCGCGCTCCGAACGTTTTATTTCAAAAACTCATTTTATTTATTTAAGGCTTTATACTGAACTATAAACGGTGTTTTTGTTCTGTTTTTGTGGAGAGAGGCTGGGGGAATATGACAGGAGGGGCGTGCTCAAAAACAGCATCTGTGATAATTTTCTTACAAATTCTTTGTGTTTCAGTTATGATCTTGTCCAAAGAATAATGCATAGCATCGTAAACGTTGATGATTGGTGTATACTGGACATGGCCAGTGGTCAGGGGCTCTGGTCGGGATTAGTATTGTAAATCTTTTTAACGAACACAGATAAAATCATTAAGGGTAACGCTGGGGAGATTAAATTGCAGCTATGTGCCACATTTTATTACCAGATTTCGAAAGGTATCTAAATGAAAAACAGAGTGATCTCTATTACTAATGAAACATTTAGGACTGCAGCCTGTGCTGCCAGTAACTTAATAACTGTTTGGTTGGAAAGGCTTGAGGATGTGACGGAGGACCGACGGCAATGACAGCTTCCGGTTAGACATAACTTCCTTCTTAAATGTTAATCTCCGGTTGAATCAATTGGTATTATACTTTAAATGCAAGATATTAGTTTGGATAATTTCATGCTATGCATAAAGTTTCACTACTCAACAACTGGTCTTTACATTACACACTAACGATACATCCTCCCAAGTGTAAATATATCTTACTTTTTTTGTGAAAGAGCGACAAATACATTCATGTAATGATGATGTAATGATCTGCTGTCAGCATGTCGTTATCAGGGGACAAGAGGTTTCCATAATATGCTCTGGCAAATCCCTCGGAGTCACCAACTTCCTTTGGTATCCTAGTTGCACAGAGACATTTCAGAAATTCAGGAAACTCATCTTTTAGTTTTTCGTTTGAAAATGCTATCTACCCCAACCCATTTATTAAAACGTTTTGTCTTCTCTGTCATTCTTTTCTACGACTCTATGCATCTCCAATTATGTATCCTGGTCTTCTTTTTAGATATGTGAAACTAATACAAGCATAAACATTCATATTGATAAAATGATATATCCCTCGAGAACATTTTGCAGTTCATAATTTAGCAAAACTTTTAAGGATTCCCAGGAGCTTTCTGCCAGGACACTACTGGGCACACTTCACCCTCCTTATTCACACCCTATCCA